CTAATATACGTTCTTTTGTCGACGCCCTTAAAATGTACAACTGTATATATACAAAGCGCCCCAAATATATGCATATTGAGCGTATGGAAATACAAAATCCCACATTCACACGCGCCTCCAAAATATGTAGAATGAGACATACATGCGTAACTGTATTTGAATTTTACAAATTTATTAGACACCTAACCTTGAACAAATTATTTTTTTCTACTAAACTTATTATTGTATGCGAACAAAATGATAAACATGTAATTATTTATAGGTTCCCATTATTTTTTCTTGAAAATCAGAACACATTTATCAGCTCTCTTAAGGTTTTACGGATACATACAATGTACACGCATGCAAGTACAGAACATCCACGTTTTATAAGTGCATATGCAAGAGCGCCCCAAATACAAGCATATCAAGCGTTTGAAATTCAGAAAAATTCTAAATCCCAAGTCTTTTTTTCCCATTATCTTTGCAATAAAATATCGGTTAAACTGAAATGATTTTATTGATTTACAGCATATATTAAAGTCAATTGTAGGTCCCCTGAGTTGATCATGAGTTGTTTTCATAAAGGGTAGTCCTCCTGGCCAGTCATCGTCACGGTTTGTAACATCGTAATTACACAGGTAAATACTAAGATGTCAATCCATATATTTTCCATAAGAAATTAATTACCGGGAGATGTCTCGTTTTCTCTGATCATATATTAATTGACAGCGTTTATGAACAACTGTTAAAACACAGGCCTTTGTAAACCGGTAAATCACAAAAAAGAAAAATCCGAGACAAAAAACAGAAAATATAAATGTCTCTGGAAATAACATTGCCTTTAGATAACTAAATTAAATTAATGTCCGCCGATTTTTGAATTAATCTGAACATTCATTGATGTGTACCTGTACAAGCAGTGTGTATATTTTTATGAAGCCTTCGTCCAAACGAACAATATAATAAATCTTGAATGAATTAACTAACACCTCAGTACACACACATTCGCCTACACCTGAAATCTAATCAAAATCAGATCTTTTTTACGGCCCGAAATTCTGATAGTCGCTGTATTTCTAATCTGATTGACTATACATGTACAGTACAGGCAACGCGGATCCCGTATTTCCCGCGCCCCGTCGCGGTATAAACACAACGCGGGATTTGGCCAGGCGAGACAGGTAAACCGCGTTCCCTCCGCGGGAAATTCATCACCTACCTGTCCCCGCCGCGGTTAAATCATCGATCACCTAGTATCATAAACAAACGGGAGTTATCTCCCCGAACAGGAATTTTGCGAAATTCCCTCTTTAAAAAAACAAATTAAAATCCCGCAGTGTATGTATATTTATGAAAGTATTTTCTTTTATTTCGCAAAAGGTGAAAATAATGAATGAACAAAAAAAAAATTGTAAAGCAGAATATATTTAATCGTTTTTATGTCGGAAATATAAGTTCTAATAACTTCTCTTTTCAAATTATATGCGAACTGCAATGTTACATACACGTGCTAAACAATAGTCAATGCGAGTTCCGATTAACAGTTCTCAGCATTCCTATGAGGAAAAAAAATATATCTATATACTGTTCATGTTTTTTTTTGTTTTGTTTTTTTGTTTTTTTTACCAAATTTAAAACAATATAATTCATTTGAATAATTTCACTTTACTGTATTAATGTGCAAGCATTTCCCTGAAATTGTCGAATGACCGGAAAGCTGTAATATTCGATGGTGAGCGTTTGCAGTGAGTGGGCGCGTGAACGTTATAAAAGATATCAATAAAATATAACAATTTTTTTTCCCTCGATATTTACTTCTTTTGTAAACAGTGGTTTGTTTTTAATTTAAACATTTCTCCAATTACAGAAGATGGAATGTGCATGGTGATGAACTTCACAAAACAATTAAAACGGGGGGGGGGGGGGTATATCACTAAAACTTATTATTCTCAATAATACTCAAGAAAAAAATCAATGCCAAGTTTACTTGAATATATTCTGTTTCTTTGTGTATTAAGAATTAGTCGCGATCATTTCCTGTGTATAGGGATTAGCAGAGCAAGAGCAGGAAACGGCATGCCCTAGGGGTTTCACACCTGTCCTAGAGTACCTGTGGTAAATTTCTCTGCATGTGCAAGGCGTTGTCTAGCCATACAACACACCAGTCCCTTCAACGTTTCATTATTTCTTCATTTTCAAATGTAACTACAACCATGAAAGTTACGCGAGTCAATATATACTTTTTTTTTACCCTGAGTGTATATTAAAAGGAAAAAGATCAATCATACTTTTAAAATAAATTAATAGAGTTTAAATGAAATAAAATAGATCAAATCAAATTATGTTTTATTACTTTTTTTAAATGCCGACGGGCTTGGTATTTATGTTTCTGTTTAATATATATGTACATGTACATGTGCATGTATTATGCAAGTAGAATGTAAAATTTAAAAAAAACGTACAGAATGTTACGGCACGTGCAACGTTTTTCCTTCGGTCAGTTTATTGATTTATCTAGTCCATCGATTAAAACAAAATATTCATGATAGAATTTCAATGAAATGAATTGCTTCTGGATTATTTTTTTTCCAGTTTTCGGGTTTTGTGTCCATTCTATTTCCACAAACCCGTGGCTGCCTCCTACCAAATTCTTTCGTTCTCGCGACTGAATCATTGAAGATTTACCCTGACCAATGAAATCACTCTGTAGCAATTTTTGGTACGTTTAAATGGCGGCGCCCATAATGAAATCATGTTTGCTATGCGTGGCAGATTTATTGAAAAAAATACGATAGATCCTGAAGAACAGATGTGAGTAACGTATATTCTAAAATACTTACAAGGTTTTACATTAAAATACAGGGTTTCAAATGTAGAGGTAATATGTGTGAGAACGCTGAATAGCGTTACTCGTTAAGAAAGGAAATTCGAACCGAAGTTGATGTACAGCTCGTGGTTATGGTTACATCCAAATACAAGATAGACATCATTTTCATTGGTTCTGACTTGAAGCGTCAGATGTTATTCAATTGGTTGAATTATGTTATTAATATTCATGAGAACGAGAGAAATTTGAAGGAGGCAGCCACGGGTTTGTGGAAATAGAATGGATACAAAACCCGTGGCTTGCGACGATGAAACAAGATATAATAACATATTTTGGTGACATGTGGTAGGTACATGTATATGATATTTTAGGCCCGATATCCAAGAGGGGTCCAGTGTTAACAAAATTAATGGAAGTGACTTACCTTCTCTATTTCATAATACCGCGGGTATGATTTTTTAATAAAACGTTAATTCTACGTTATTTTTATGGATTTTTCATATGGAATACATTGTAAATGTGTACTAGAAGATTAATTTATGGAAAAAGACGAATAAAAATATTCTTGGACCCCGGGGTGTATATTGGGGGGGGGGGGGGCACTGTCCACAAGCACCGGTCTCATCCAAAGGATCGATCTCCACGTTTTACTACTTATCCAAACTGGGCATAAAACATTCTCAATGAATTTTTTAATCATTATGCTGAACCTAACAAATTATTCCGACTCGCTGTATGATCTGAAAAAAACATGGCTGAACTTATCCGTTCAGAAACTCACAGACTGGTATTGCTTTTAACCAGTGTGTGTTATAGCCTTGATGCAAGGTCATTTGGTCGAGTCAAGGTCACTGACAGAGAAACTGTAATTTCGCTACCGTATTTGTACTACTGAAACATTGCTGGTATCATGCAGAGTGTGACATGGCCTTGACTCAAGTTCAAGGTCACTAAGGATAAGATGTTTTGACTGTATGTATGGACTAAAAGAACATGACGTGTCACTGTGAACTTTTCAAGTCGGTAACATACAGATTGGGTTTTATGACGAGAGTGTGTCATGGTTTGATGCAAGGCATTTGGAATGTTCAAGGTCACGTACATTCCTTTACAGTTTTTCCTAGCGAAATATTGTAAGTTGCTTCCCCTTACAAGATTGCTTACATGTATAACTTTAGAATGTGGCATGACCTTGACTAAAGGTCACTTCTTTCTTCCGCAGCTCCAACGGAAGACCTATTCGTTGCTTTGCAACGAGCTCGCTCTAGTTATAATCAACTTTCGGTTTGACAAAGCATCTAAAATTAAACTCTCCTTCGATCATGCATTCCGGAAATAACCGTACATCGTAGTTTTTCTGCCTTTTATTTTGGAAATGAATTTACCTTTCTTATCACGGTAAATGATATTGGCGTCTGCCATTTTGATAGAATAAGCGTCGGGCACGCACTGACGTAATAACGTCACTGACGTGAATAACGTCATATAACGTTATTTTACGTGGTATGGATCATTACCTTAATACATTTATTTTTTTAATAATGCTGGGCGAACAAGGCTAGCGGAATACCCATAGTGCGAAAAATATGAAGAAGAGAAATTAAATCTCAATTATAACAAAATTTTGTTTGATATTTCATCTAACGTAAAATCTCGATAATGTACAAATATCTCACAAAGATTGAAATTATCTGCCTATGAAATAGCATATACACACCATAGAGGGCAAAAAGGATAATTTTCTTATACTTTAACACACTTGTTTTGAAAGTTTATTTTCAAAGCTTGCATAAAAATATGGTTAACCAAAACATGGAACACAGACCAACTATACTTCAAAAATACACTTTTATTACCAAACATTCGTATCTGTCCGATAAATACTCGAAGTCCATTTAGTCAAGGGTCATTTCACAAGCATAATTTGTCACTATTTATCAGGAGTTGCGTACTGTATTGGTAAATAAATGTTAGGGTTCGAATCCCACATTATTTTTTTTATAATAGATCTAGAATATTTTTTGCCTACAAAATTTTCCTCAGAAAAGGTTTGTAATATTTTCATAAATTTCAATAATGAGAACTTTGATCTTAATTCTAAATCACAAAGTGGATATGATTTATATATTTCTGCAGCTATAGACATTCTGCACGCTTGTTCACTCGTCTCCTTTATATAAAATCAACATACTATTGTTACAATAGTCGCCCATAAATCCCGGCTGACAGGAGAAGCACTTTCCATTGGACATGTTACAGAATCTATCTTGGCAGTTGGGAGGACAATTCTCGCACTCCTCACCGTATTGACCACTTTCTGGGCAGCCTACAATATTTAAAGTTCGAACTTCATGAAAAATAAAAATTGCATAAAAAACACGTGCACTTGATCCCTACAACTGTGATTTTTTTTAAACAGACCATACAAAGAGTTTTCTGATCAATATGACATTAACCGCTCATTTAAGAGCACTTATAAAGAACATTTCCAGATATTCAAATAAGTTAAATAGAAAGAGGAAAAATTATAAAACTAAGACAAATATCGAATACTCTTCAAAACGATATCCTATCCCATTCTGCAGTTTTACTTTCAATGGTTTCTGTCCGTATTCTGAGCTGCTCGTTAGTTATTGCATGTTTGCAATAATTTGGGCTAATTTTCGCAATAAATATCATAACTTTATAAAATATCAAGGACATTTTATTGTTACATTATTATGGTTTTTTTTTTTCAGCATGTATTAAACATAAATGACAATCTGCATACAAGGAAATTCAAAGAATTGTGTTCCCCCGCTTTCGGTGTCTTAGTGGATGTGAAGCCATTATTTATTGCATACTGTAACTGTCTTGTTTGTGTGTCCTGTGTTGTCTGTGCATTATACCAAAAAGACATAAATTATTGAATCGATAACAGTTATGGCAAGGATTACAGCTTCTCAAAACTACATTAAACTTCAAGATCAAGGTCAAATATAATACCAGACCTGTTTACCCACATTGTTGTCTCTCAGTATTTTTTGGTAGATTTGTCAGTGAGATTTGGCATTTGCCCGTAAAATTTCCTTTCCATCGATTTTACTTATACTAGAGAACAACTACATTTGTGATTACCGAAACATGGTTTAATAACAAAGAAAAACATCATACCGTGCTTTCTTTCGAGGGGTTTCTGTCTTTTTTTTTTAAACCACCGTTTTGGCAACCCGACATACCTAAGTGTTTGAAATCTTTCTCTTTTTTGTGATTAAAAGGTGTCAAACTGAGAGAATCATTACGAAAACTAACTGCTAAAATCCAAACAAACGGATTTCTTATTTCCGTATTTTCACCAGACGTATTTCGTACAAAATACGGCGAAATCGTAAGAGTAGACAGGTCTGTAATACGATCCGAAAGGTTTTGTCACAAGTAATGCATAATGAGAAAAAACAAAAACCAGAGTATACAATTGGAGAGGTCTTGAAACAGATTATGCACATGTCAAATGTATGTTCCCACATTGATCGATCAGAGATCCTTCTCCCAATATCCCCTTACACTAAACTAATTTGACATGTAATTTTTTTTGTAACCAACATTTTTCTTGACCATTGCTTAGAGATTTTACCCATGGCAATGTGAAATTTCCCCTATTATTGACTAAAAGAAAAATAATACGAAAAAAACGTAGTCCTGTTTGGATTGCGTAATTTAAAAGTTAGAAAAATATAAATTTCTCCTTTAATTAAAAAGTACACATTCTACCAAATATGCACTTATCGACCAAGTTTGATGATTCTAGGTGCAAAAATCACGAGCTGGAAGGGTTTTTCCACATTTGGCCGTAGAATCCCATTAAAGGTCACAGCGACCTACTTTTAATGAACGACACAGCTTTTACCCAAGATGTATCCGTACGAAAGATTGTTACTTCTTGGCCTGATAGTATTTAAGTTATGAGTCGGACAGAAAAACGCAAACAAGTTGCCACACGAACATGAACACCATTACATAATACGTCTTGTCTTAGGACGGGGGTTCAACAATTGGGAGCAAAATCCAGAAACGTAATTTTCTGAGGTCAATTCATAATCAGCATTTTGAAATTAAATCGGAATTTCAGTAATACTAATTATTATTAACAACTTTGCAGAGATGGATCTTCTTCAAATGATGTTCGACCTGCAGTTTTGTGTTTATCTTTGAAAATATTAATTGCAAGATTGAAGCAAAACAAACATCGGCTCAAATTATGTACTCACCATAAACTTCCAGCTCACAGATCTCTACAAATGCTGAGCTACTATAATACTCTGGGTAGTGTTCTCCGGGATCTCTAACGTTGTAGAACATAACGTATCTTCCTCTATCAACACATTCAATGGTAATGTTGGGTGAATTTGTACCATTTTGGATATCGTGATAACAAAGATGCATATGTTCTCTGTCTGTGTCGTTCCCTATATAAAGATAGAACCCAGCAAATCGCCCTCTGTGTGTCATGTCTGCAAGTAGTACGTATACATGCACCTATTTACGGACTGTATTTTATTAGTCAATAATATATTACATACAGTCTGACAAAATGCTGCTTTATCTTAATGAAAATGGATCACAGCTGACATGATGTTTGAACATTAATTTTTAGCTCACTTGAGCCTTCGGCTCAAGTGAGCTTTTTTGATCACATTTTGTCCGGCGTCTGTCTTTCTGTCTGTAAACTTTCACATTTTCGACTTCTTCTCAAGAACCACTGGACCAATTTCAACAAAACTCGCTAAAAAGTATCCTTGGGTAAAGGGGATTCATTTTGTTTTTTTTAAAATGAAGGGCCACGCCTTATTCCAAGGGGAGATAATTATGAATTAGAGAAAAAAATAATGGAGTATTTTAAAGGTTTTCTTCTAAAGACCTACGGAGTTAGAAAATATGAAACTTATAAGGAATCATTCTCAGGTAGTGTAGTCAAGTTTGTTCACATCTTGATCCCCGGGGTAGGGCGAATCGACAATGGCTGATCAAAGTTTTACATAGAAATATATAGGTAAATCTTTCAAAAGGTTCTTCTTAAGAACAGCAAAGCCATGATTTATCATATATATAAGGCAGCATCCTCAGGTAGTGTAGAATCAAGTTTATTCAAATCGTGACCCCCGAGGTAGGGCGGGACCGTAATAGGCAATTAAAGTTTTACGTAGAAATACATAGGAAAAAACTCTTCTCAAGAACAGCAAAGCTATGATTAGTCATATTTATATGGAAGCACTCTGAGGTAGTGTAGATTCAATTTAGTTCAAATCATGACCCCGGAGGATAGGGTGGGCCCACAATGGGCGTATTAGAAATTCTTAAAAAATCTAATAAGCCACGATTAGCCATATTGCTAGGGAAGCATTCTTAGGTAATGTAGATTCAAGTTTGTTCAAATCACCCCCCCCCCACTGTTATATTCAAACTTTTCAATACTGATCCGTTTTCTTCTTTTTCCTAGGCAAATTGCTCAGTTGACCCACGGGCCTCTTTTTTTATTCGGGAAGAAAACCATCCGTTCTTATGAAAACAAATAGTATCATTTTCACTTAAAGGATAAACACATATGTGATCCAACGGATTTTTTTTTTTAAATTGCTTTTCCAGTTGTAGCCTAATTGTGAAAAAGTTTTCTTTTTCTTAATTTTGAAATTTTATTATTATTACCCCAATTAGCTGACGGTTGACCTGGTACATTGTCTGTCCTATAGAAAATAGAAATATGATGTATAGGAAGTTCTTTTCCGACATCCACGTACCACCAAGCAACGTGTTTCTTGTTGTCAGAAATCGCGCATGTACCGGAACTGTAGAGAGCTCTCCTGTCCCCATCCACTGCTTTATTTGCGCCCCACGATTGAGTATGTGTAGAGGACATATATGCAGATTTATGTAAGGCAATATTTTCTAAAATATAACAGAATCTCATTGTTGACATGGAGCAAATTTCAAAAAAGCATAGATAACAAAGCAACATCAAAACTTTTAGAAAAGTTTCTTCAAAGATATTGTTTCATTGATGGATCACCAAATATCTTGGCTTATTAGTTGCTGATAGGGGTACTTCAAAAATACACAAGTCAAACAACATTCGCACACAATTTGAAAATTGTCAATGGATGAAATTCCTTTGTCAAATTTAAATCTCTTTTCAACTTTCAGCAGATTGTTATGTAGATGAGATTTTAAATTTGTTTAATTCTGTAATTATGCTGCACTCATTTTTTAAAGAAAAGTTAAGTCTCTCATAGAAATGTTAGAGGATTGTTTTGAAAAATCTCTTCAAAATTAAAAAAAGGTTTTTTGTTCAAATATACATACACACAATAGAATCAAAAGTCTACTGTGTATTACTAAATGACCAGGGATTTCTTTTCGCCTAGACACCCTTCCTTGCAGTGCATCTCAAAGTGAGTTCACTTTAAAATTAAGTTCTGGGTGGTTTATTCGGGTTTTCCTTTTTGACAACCATAAATTTGCTAACATTTTTAATCAAAATTTTTTTTATATCTTGTATCTTTGTGAATGTAAAGATGGTAGACGCCGTGCATTGCCGAAGAGACTCTCCTTTATTGGATAATGGTTGAGTACTTATTCCACTTTCAAACAGTTGTTTAACTGTTGAAATATAGTAATAATGCGATGTTACATTACACGTTAACGTATGAAAGCTAATATTTGTAGAAGTGTCAAAAATGTTGTGAAATTCCCGATCATTTAATAAACGGTTATTAACTTTTCAATTTGGCCTCTGTCAACCTATACCTAACCAGTCATTAAAAAGTCAATCATTGTATTTAGCTCACTAGTTTGTTTGTTGTTAAACGTCCCCCTCGAGAATTCTTCACTCATATGGAGACGCCACCACTTGCCGGTGGAGAGCTGCAAATTTTGACCTTTACTCGGCACTTAGGGCCATTTAGCAGTGAGGGATCTTTTTCGTGCTAGCACTTACTGCGACACAAGACCTCGATTTAAACGGTCTCATCTGAAGGACAGGTCACCGTGTCCTACATATAGCCCACTAGAGGATGAGGGCTACCATGTATAGAGCTGGTATTTAGCATCAGTGCACTGTATTATAACTTTTAAATGAGTTTTGTTTTGGGGTTAATAATTTTCATATACATTCATTCATCTCGGAAGAACCTGGTGACCAGGTAAGCAATGTAGCCCATGGACCTTAAGTTTTCGCCTGCTTTTGTTTGAGGAATACGAATTATATAAAGAGTAATTAAAGAAAGGAAATGGAATACCGTACAGCGGGGTGCTAATTTCCCCCTTGTTTTAGCGATTTGGTAATTGCACAAAGTCGCCAAATTTGCAACCCAGTGTACAGAAGTTGAGAAGGTAACTCTGGTGAGTCTATTGTTAAACATTTTACTGGTATATTTCTTTTCTTTTCAATCAATATCTTGAATAAACAGTATTTAAACATACAAATATCTATACTGAAAACTTGAATGGAAAATGAACTTCATTTATATATTTATCTCTGTGTCCGCCAAACATAGTTCCGCTTAAATGATTGGCGTACCTTTGAGTAAGCAGAACGCCGAATTTTACACCGATTAAAGAAATCCGCTATACGGTACAATGTATTTAATAAATATTTTGAAAAACACTATTTATCATTACGCCTATTAACCGGATGTAAAGTTCTTTTTAAAATACTCACCGTAAGCCTTCAGCTGACAAAGAAACACAAGGTGAAAAATCACTATAATTGTCCAGTAGGCTTTTAACATTTTAAAACACAACACTGTTTTGTTTACATTCAAGTACAAGTAAACGTCACGGAAGAATTCACACAGCGATGAAATTTTACCATATTTAAATTAAGAACTGACAATTAAATATACAAAATAGAACTATAAATAAAACATTCTACTGAAGTCGTCGATGACCGTATTAATTATCTCTTTGCTTGTGAACAATCTTAAAAGTACATATTTTGTCTAATTTGAATAAACAATCTTAAAAATACAGATTTGTCTAATTTGAATAAAAAATATTAATCCTGGCCACAGGTCTCCAGACTAAAACTCTAAACTAAAATTTGAATCATTTATAAAATATTTATTACTTGTCAAATTAAACTCTTAATTTGCATATAACAGCAATTTGATCATGGAAAATTGGAAAGCATGCTCTTTTTGGAAAGCTTACCTTTTAAAAAAAATTCAACACCATAAACATTGTTTGACTTAAGCTCAAGAGGCCTCATGATCCTAGGGCCAGAATACATTAAAACAATGTACGTGATCTAGCAAACAATTGTTTTTATTTCCTATCAACTTTTCCTAAAAATGGATAGATATAATATACATGTATCTGAGTACTATGATACTTTTCATCATATCACGTCGTCGCTGTGAGTGCTTCATGGGGAACATTCCTATTGTCGAAGATAACGAATATCCAATCTAGATATTATTGTGTCCAGCCTCCACGTCAGTAAAGCTGTCGTTCTGAAACACAGTGTAGATAAGTTTTGGATTTGGGTGAATTCTTCCTATTGTGATATCCTTTTTACAGGGAAATCTGGATAAAGAGAGAGATAACTTTTAACAATTTTATTTACATTTATGCTTTTGATCGACACAATTTCATAACAAGCTGTCGCAAATATTTGAGTATGACAGCACATGTTGCACCCGTGTTTATAGAAAATACATGTAAAATACATTTATTGCTCAATGAAGACCTTTCAATATGATTTAAATCATAGTTAACATCATACAAATAATTAATTGAAATATACTCACTTTTGTTTAGTAAAAGTTGCAATACAAATAACGTTGACAAGAAGTGCAACACTGAATAAAACTATCAGAACACACACGGTTTCCAAATTAAATGCTGGACCATCAACTAAACAATAAGAGCATTTGCTACAGGCAATTTGTAAGAAAAAAACGTATGATCACTGAGCATTGATATATATACATGTAGTTGGTATTTGAGCATTATTGTAGAATAAAATAATTGTTCAAAATGGTCACAGACGAATGTGTTTAATATTGTCTTTAGTGAATAAATGGGACTATTCTCAGCTCACCTGATCTGAGAGCTCAAGTGAGGTTTTCTGATCACCCGTTGTCGTCGTCCGTCCGTCTGTAAACTTTTCACATTTTCAACTTCTTCTCAAGAACCACTGGGCCAATTTTAACCAAACTTGGTACAAAGCATCCTTGGGTGAAGGTGAGTTTAAACAGTTAAAATGAAGGGCCAAGTCCCATTGCAAGGGGAGATAATCAAGAAAATGCAAAGATAGGGTGGGGTCATTAAAAAAATATTCTTCTCAAGAACCACTGAGCCAGAAAAGCTGAAACTTGTGTGAAAGCATCCTGAGGTAGTGTAGATTCTAAATTATGAAAATCAACCCCCCCCCCCGGCGGGGGGGGGGGGGGGCTAGGACGGGGCCACAAAAAAGAACCCAAGTTTTTAATTGAAATATATAGGAAAAATCTTCTTCTCAAGAACCACTGGGCCAGAAAAGCTGAAACTTATGTGAAAGCATCCTGGGGTAGTGTAAATTCTAATTAAATTGTCAAAATCATGACTACTGGGGGTAACGTGGGGTCACAGTATTACAAGGGGGAAGCAAAGTTATTCAGGTGAGCGATGTGGCCCGTGGACCTCTTGTTAAAGTTTGTTTCAAGGACTTTTAGTAACATTTGTGTGGGTGGATACCTGTGTTGCACCTGTCCCCTCTGTATCCAGACAGACAACCCCCGGTACACGTCCCGATAGATCGGTCACAGTCATCTGGCTTCACGCAGCTTTCACTACATGTCTTCATACAAAAAAACCCCGTAGTACCCCGAGGGAAAAGCTGAAAATAATGAAAAGCTCATCTTTATTTGTTGGTTATCCATTTTCACAAAATTTTTATTTATCGAAGTGTCAACCACAATCTAGAGTGAAAGTCCATGCATGTTTTTTTCCCGAAAGAAAGAAGGAAAGTAGTTTTCCGTCTTAGATGGTTGAAATATATGGAGATAACGAACAGTATTCAAGCTCAAAAGTCCATTAATCAATACAAAATAGGAGCAGAGCAAACACGGACCTCCAAACATCAGAGGTGGGATCAGGTGCCATGGAGGAGTGAGCATCCCCTGCCGACCGGTCACACCCGCCGTGTGCTCCTTGTCATGATCGGGAAATAACGGAAAAATCCGTCGACAATTCAGTGTGTAAATAATGGCCTAACAATCAGTGTGAAAAACGTCAGTCAGCATTTGACTCAATGATAAATTGTATTTGCTGACAAGGTCATTGTATCGACCATAGAACTTACGAAATGATGACTTTAAACGAGACAGCTGATATTCTTGTTTCATCAACTTATTTGTCAATAATTTACCTCGTTTTAGAAATTGTACATACATAGAGCATGCTCTTGCGTATCGAATCAACTGAGAGATATATACCCCGTATGCAGGTGATGAAGGTATATTGCTGCATAAGTAAGGGAAGTTGACGATTGAAAAGTTAAAGTCATCACGTTTATCATAAAGCTTGGTTGTTAGATTACCATTAACGTCTTTTTCAGGTAAAATATCCAAATATGAAACAGATGTGTCAGACTCTGTGGTATCTTTTATCTCAAGTTCACAAGGATATATCGTATCGACATGAGAATGGAAATAGCCATTGTTAAATGATAATTCGTCGTCGATATATCTAAATGTCGAGTTGAAGGCAACAGCAAGTGTTTTCTTCTTTTCACGTACAAGATTATGCACAAATTCTGCTTCATATGAATACAAAAAAAGGTCTGCTAATAACGGGGCGCAATTGGTACCCATGGGAATTCCAATAGATTGTTGGAAGACCTGGTCTCCAAAAACCACTTAGATATTGTCAATCAGAAACTCAAGCATCTTTTTAATGTGAACTTCAGAGTACTTGTGTGAACAATCAGAATGTTTTTTAACAAAATAATTTTGCAAATGACCAATGACAAGGTAAGTATACTTACGAGTTCCATTTTTATTGAAAAAGCAGCTGTCAATGATATCAAAAAGCCTGGACTTTAATTTATCGTGGGGAATGGTTGTGTACAAAGTTGAAAAGTCGTAAGTTTTTAAGCTGTTGATTTTGATAAAATCTTGTGATTTCAAATTTTCCAAAAGTTCCTTGGAATTTTTAAGTATCCACATCTGATTTACACCACTTCTCGAATATATTGTTGCACAGTACTCTTGAAGTTTCTCCTTCACCACTGTTAATATCTTAGTGAGGAGTAAAGATAGAGGCTTGGTTGAACATATACTGGAACCCGCTATGTATCTTTGTTTGTAAGGATTTTTATGAAGTTTCGGAATCCAATATAAATATGGTAATGCAAATTCAGTTTGGTTGTTTGGAATATTAAAAATATTCAAAACTGACATATGATTTTGAAGAATTTCTTCCTTAGAAAGGGAACTATAAGTATAAGTTGGATTACCACTTGTAGAATTAAATCCAAGTTCCTCTAAAATACATTTAATATAATGAGTCTTACAAACAAAGACAATGTTGTTACCTGCTTTGTCAGCAGGGACCAGTACGTACTGATCATGTAATCTATATAATTCTTTTTTCACTTCTGGATTATTGAATACAGAAGGATAGATGGTTTTCATATTGCCTCTCAATCTTTTAATGCGCGATTTAAACATACATCTGATACATTTAATCCATTCTACAAAGTGTCAAGGTCTTCTTTTTCATGTCTGGTTCATCGCCTGGCGTAGTCCTCTACAGAATCCATAATATTTATGAAAGTCCGACGCCAGTTGAAGGATCTGGGTTCCCTAATTTTAGGACCTTTTAAAATTAGTGATCTAAGGTCCTCATTATTAACTATATTTACGTCACCAGTAATAACGTGTTCAGCAGGACTATAGTTATAGGGCGAAGAAGAACATGAACACGATGGAGGATTATGCTTCAGATATTCGATATCCAGGCCCTGTAAAGTTTTCTTGTAATTAAAAAGTTTGGAAGCAATAGTCGATGTATATTTGTAGGAAATACAAGGTGGAGTCGTTAACTTGAAATATGGTGGAATACAAGACTGGACCCTTTTGTGATTAAAAATATTACTTATATTAACCATTAATTATTAATGGTCTGCATACAAAGATTAAGATATTATGCTCATATTGTACCAGAAATTGTAGAGGAATGATATACGTGAATACAAGCTGGTTAAAATATAGCGGGAGACTCTATTTCCTTTTCCCGTTAACAAATTTAACAAAGATATGAAAGAAATGTTTTCACAATCTTATCCAGCTTATCTGCACGTATTATAATTAGCAGGTCTACTAAGCTTGAAACCCAAAGTGAATATTTTCAGGTTATTCTCGTTTCTGGATATTTTCCAGGGAGGGGTTTGGAAAAAAAATATCAAGCAGAAAATAATTGTCATGCAAAAAAGCATCTTGAGGGGTTGCAGGCTACTTTACTGCGATTACCTGAAATTTATTCTTAAGATACTTTTGTAAGACACAAATAAAAAAAGTGTGTTCCTTTGTTGTTCTTACAGGTATTGCAGGAATTTGTACATTGAGACATTTATGTCAATTGAATCTCGCATAGTAAGAATTATGTCTCCACAGTATACAAAAGATTATAGAATAGCCTAACACAAGCCAAGTAGAAGTAGACATACCATCAGTACATTTTTTACCATACCATTCTTCTGCGCATCCATTAGGGCAGCTTCCGGTCACAATATCACACGACTTCCCATATCGACATGAGCCACACTGCTTTGAACATTTCTGTCCGTATGCATGTTGACTACAGCCTAGATATCAATGCAAGAGCTTGAAATGTATTGTGTTATACAACCGCATTAATCGCTTGTGAGACTTTACAACCACATAAAATTTTGTACGATATACACTGTACAATATCATAATCGTTTCAAAAATAAAATATATATATAGTTTTAAAGATAAGTGAAAAGGCGAGGAAAATGTCTATAGTGCGATAAATATGAAGACGAAAATTTAAATCTCAAAACAAAATTTTCATATTCCAGCCAACATGAAAGAATACATTATGTAAAAATAGTTTAATTTTGTTTGTATTCTAGCCTCTGATTGGTTAATATCTAAAAAGGAACACAAATTATTTCTGTATAACCTGGTTTGGTATGGGGACACCCCCCCCCCCCCCCCCCGACAACCAGCTGAATCATCTGTTTCCATACAATCCTCTCATTTCCAGTCCTCGGGATTAATGGAAAATTCCAGATTTAATAAATGTACCTTTAACTTCAAACAATAATTCGATCTTACCACATGTAAACAGGCTGCTAAGCCTATATCAGTTTTTACCTCCCCTCCTTCCCATCACTTCCGTTACTACGGTTGTATTATTGAGCGGCAAATTTGAACTAATAAAAAGCAACGAAATTTTACACCTATAGTTATTTAATGATTTTAAAAATAAATTATAAGGAATGACTCTAATTCTTGGCCAATTTATTCGAGTATAACCTGGTTTGGGTCAGTTTACACTGTTTTATAATAAAGCGTAAACTGACCCAAACCAGGTTATACTCGAATAACTAGTGGGTATTGTTTTTTTAACAAAAAAAAACACGTCTCCCCTTCTTTATCAACATTAACGAGTGCAAATATATGATCAGGGTCTAAAATAATAATGCAGTGCATCTCAACTCAAATTCTGTGTACAAAATTTCAAGTCTTCATGTCAAACGAATCTCAAGTAATGGTCTGGTCGTGATTTTCTTAATTTGACCTTGAAGAAAGTGGTCAAGGTCAAATATTTTGATGCAGTGCATTTAGTCTCAATGTTGTCTTTCCTTGTTCCAAGTATGAAATCCTAATGTCAAAAAGTTCTCAAGTTATGACCTAGACTATATTTTCCTGTAAACGATTGACCTTGACTTTATTAATAGGTCAAGGTGAAAAAATGTTGCCATTCACCCTTCCTCTATACCACCTCTCCATGTTCCAAGTTTGAAGTCTTAATGTCAGGGTTCTCAAGTTATGGTCTAGTCATGTTTTTTCTATTTGACCTTGAAGAAAGGAGTCAAGGTCAAAATTTTGAAGCGTTGCATCTTGTAACAATGTCTTCTTTCTATGTTACAAGTTTGAAGTCCTAATATCAAAGGGTACTCAAGCTAAGGCCTGGACTCTATTTTGATGTAAAAGATTGACCTTGACATTATAATAATTGGATCAAGGTCAAAAATTTTGGTGGCATGCATCCTTCCTTCATACCACTTCTGCATGTTCCATGTCTGAAGTCTTTATAACAAAGGATTCTTAAGTAATGGTCTAATCAAGTTTTTTCCCTATTTGACCTTGAGGAAGAAAAGACGTCAAGGTCAAAAAATTTGGTGTGTTGCATATTGTATCAATGTCTTCTTTCTATGTTACAAGTTTGAAGTCCTAATATCAAAGGGTACTCAAGCTATGGCTTGGACTCTATTTTGATGTAAAAGATTGACCATGACCTTATTATAATTGAATCAAGGTCAAAAATTTTGGTGGCATGTATCCCTCCTTTATACCACCTCTGCATGTTCCAAGTTTGAAGTCTTATTGTCAAAAGGTTTTCAAGTTATGGTCAGATCGTGTTTTTCTCTATTTGACCTTGAAGGCAGAAAGGGGTCAAGGTCAAAATTCTAATGCAGTGCATTTTGTTTCAAGGTCTTCTTCCTATGTTACAAGTTTGAAGTCCTAATATCAAAGGGATCTCAAGTTATGGGCTAAACTCTATTTTGATGTAAAAGATTGACCTTGACCTTATAAATAGGTCAAGGTCAAAAATGTTGGTAGCGTGCACTCCTTCTTAATGTCATCTATCTATGTTCCAAGTTTGAAGTCTTCATGTCAAAGGGTATTAAAGTTACGGCCTGGACAAAATTTAGATGAAGAAGAAGAAGAAGAAGAAAATCGACAAAAACAATATGTCTCCCCTGGAAGGGGAGACATAATTTGGCCAAGAATTAGAGTCATTCCTAAAATATCCATATTTTGCAAAAGAAAAATCTCACAATGCCTATGAAATAGCATACTCACCTTAAAGTTTCATCAAGTTTCCGCATTGCGGAAAACATGGTGTACTACTTGTATATCAACTGTTTACGCAAACTGAAACCATACATATACTTCATGTTTCATCAACTTTCAGTTGCGGAAACCATTTGGATTCGTGGACACCCTAAGTTTCCGCACTGAAACTTGATGAAACTTGGAAGTTTCAGTACTGAAACTTCGCGGAAACTATTACATGTAGTAAGCTTAAGTTTCCGCAAAGTTTCAGTGGTGTTTCAGACATGCGGAAACTGTTTTTTTTTTTCATCCAGTGATGAAGATTTTGGACGATATACACTGTACGATATCATAATCGTTTAAAAAATAAATATATAGTTTTAAAGATTTGTGAAAAGGCGAGCAAAATACCTTTAGTGCGATAAATATGGAGAAAATTTAAATCTCAAAACTTTTAAATCTCAAAAATTTTCATATTCCAGCCAACATGAAAGGATACACTATGTAAAAATATCCATATTTTGCAAAAAAAAAAATAAAAAAAAAATCTCACAAGGCCTATGAAATAGCATACTTACCTTAAAGAAGGCAACAGGGTTATTTTTCATACTTTTACACAATTTTTCGATATGAGTAAGTCTCTGCTCGGTTATTTTGAAAGTTTCTTTTAAAAGTTTGCATCAAAATATACCTGTTTTGGTTAACAAAAACATGGAGCACAGACGACTATTATATAATTTTAAAATACACTTGTATTTTAAAATATAAAATACATTCCTGTCTTTCCGAGAAACACATGAAATCCCTTTAGTCAAGTGTCATTTCACAAACATAATTGTAGCGTAGTGGTTAGAGTGTTAGTCTCAAAGCAAAATGGTAGTCAATGCAAGATTTTTAATGTTCGGGGTTCGACCCCACGAATACCACATTATTTTATTTTAATAATAGATCTAGAATAATTTTCGCCGAGAAAAGTTTCTTCAGAAAAGGTTTGTTTGTCATAATTTCATACTAATTTCGCAAAGTGAATATGATTTTAATATTTCTGCAGCTACAGGCATTCTGCACGCCTTGTTCACTCACCTCCTTTATATTAAATCAACATACTATTGTTACAATAGGCTCATAAATCAAGGCTGACAGGAGAAGCACTTTCCATTGGTCATGTTACAGAATCTATCTTGGCAGTTGGGAGAACAATTCTTGCACTTTTCACCGTATTGACCAGTTTCTAGAAGCCTACAATGTTTAAAGTTCGAACATCATGAGAAATAAAAAATGCATAAAAAAACACGAGCACTTGATCCCTACAACTGTGGGGGTTTTTTTTCGCCGTGATATGATGGAAATACATTTGTAGTTAAAAATAGTATTGTACCTCTGCGTTATCTTTAGTATTTGTATACAAGATGTGTTTGTGAAACACTATGCCCCCGATGGTAACACAACTCTGGAGTGGGACGTACACTACAGTGCAATAGTTATGGCCAATGTTAACGTTTTTCAAATGTAGGTCAAAGGTCAGAGTTGAGGTCACATGATCAAAAATGGAAAGGTCTTGTCATAATGAACACTCATGTCAAATATTAAAGCCTTACCTTTGACAGCGCAATAGTTATGGGCTAGGTTAAAGTTGACAACAGACAAACAGGCAGACAGGACAAAAACAATATACCCCCGGGATCTTTCAATCCAGGGGCATAAAAATATTGTTATACCAGACCATATAAAGAGTTTTCTGATCAATATGACATTTACCACTCATTAAAGAGGACTTATAAAGAACATTTGCAGATATTCATCTATACTTATAAATTAATAAATTTTGCAAATAAACTCCGAAACGGGTGCACCAGAGTTCTAACTTACTCCTCTAACAATACACTAGATACAAGCTGATGTCCGTAAACTATATTTAGATTTCACTCGCATAGTAAGTATCGTACATTAAATTAAAAGTCTACTTTCATTTTCTATAAACAGCCATGAAATAGCTAAAACGTGAGTACGGTGGCGTTTCCGGTTGGCGGATCTAAGTTACTGGCAATTTTTAATGAAACTGACAACAAGCAATTGTTTATTTATTACATAAAACGTCATCATTGAATTATTCAATCAAAACTCGATTTAAATGATATAAAAGAAAAAAGTTGTGATAACCGATTGAAAAGGGAAATGTGGAAAATATGTTCGTCATTCACCGATCTTTATATTGACGGAAGCTTCTAGAACATCATATAGCATCGAGCCCGATGTTAAGGGAAAAAAAAAACGAGGCGATGATAGCTACATAACCATAAAAAAAAGCTTTTGTGTAAATGGTCATAATTGAAATAATGGTAAATCACTGATAACACTATAAGTTGTGAATATAATGAAAGACTATGACATATACATGTATATAGTAGGTTTTCCTAATAAATTTATCGGTAAAATTTGTATATATTCCTTACTGAGAGCATCGTGGCAACGAACCCGAAGTACAATTTGTACTTCGTAATAAACTTGCTTATATGAAAAGAGAAAATTAATGAATAAGGTATTGTTCAAATACAATTAAAGATGTAAAATTTTGCGCTTTAATCAATGCACAATTTTCTGAATACAGTCTTTTATAGCTGCAATAATGTAGCCCTCTCCTTTTTTGAGGGGGGCAGAGAGAGAGAGGCCAGAAAATATCAGATCCAAAAAAAAAAAAAAAAAAAAAAAGGAGAGGGCTACATTGTTGCAGCGTAGTCTTTTGTATCAAATACTCAGCCTATTCATAGGGCGTTAAAAGCTAATTTTACACAGGTACTTGGTTCTTGGTTTATAAATATGTATGTACCTTATTGATAGGTAAAAAAGTAAAGTACATTTTTACATATCAATAAGGTACAAACATATTTATAAACCAAGACCCAAGTACCTGTGAATTTTTACACACACACACACACCCCACCCCCAATCAATTTATTAGTAAAATGTGCATATTCGTTGCTTTTATCCTTGACGGAAATGAAATAAGAGCATCTGAAGCACAATATCCATAACATAGTATAACAGGTTTCACAATAAACGTCAATTATAATGAAATTGCTATTTAAAAAAAATAAAAAATAAAACAAACACATAAAACGGGAGGTTGGGAGGGGGATAGGTAAATCTACTTCATGCGGGATTTTGAACAAAGTATTTGTTGCTGCTATAAGCCTGTAGGCTGTCAGTAGAGTTCTAACTACAATATATTTTCTGTCGGTAGTGGTATAAATTCAATTCCCCGCGCTTGCGCGGGATTTCATCTAGTGTAATTTAAAAAAAGAGGAAAAATTATAAAACAACGACAAATATCGAGTACTCTTCAAAACGATATCCTATCCCATTCTGCAGTTTTCCTTTCAATTTTTTCTGTCCGTATTTGAGCTTCTCATTAGTTATTGCATGTTTGCAATATCTTCAGCTTTTTTTCGTAATAAATATGATAACTTTATAAAATATAAAGGATATTTTATTGTTACATTGTTATGTTTTTTTCAGCATGTATCAAACATAAATGACAATCTGAATAAAAATATTGTCTGCAAAGTCTTTAAGTGAATCTATATCGTCGCTAAAACATTAATACGATAAAAACATCCTGTCTTTTCTCGGAAAGACAGGATGTGTTTGTGAAACACTGATGCCCTCGTATGGCAGCTTATGGCGAAGGTTAAAGTAAAGTTTCTCAAATGCAAGTCAAAATCCAGGCCAAAAGATGAAAAATGTTGGTACCCAAAGAAAGGTCTTGTCTCGAGAAATATAGATGTGAAATTTGAAAGCCCTAGCTGCAACTGTTCAAAAGTTATGGCGAAGGTTAAAGTTTTTTAAAAGTAAAACGTCAAGGTCAAGTTCTTAGTATCTCAAGGAAGGTCTTGCCACAAATATTACATATGTGAAGTATGAAAGCCCATGCACCAACCAATTCAAAATTTTGGCCAAGGTTAAAGTTTTTCAAAAGTATGTCAAACTTCAATGTCAAGGTCAAAGTGGTTGGTATCCAAAGGAAGGTGATGTCACAAGAATTACATATGTGAAGTATACAAACCCTACCATCAACCATTCAAAGGTTATGTCTAAGGGTAAAGGTTTTGAAACATAGGTCAAACTCCTAGGTCAAGGTCAAAGTGGTTGGTATCCAAAGGAAGGTCTTGTCACAAGGATTACATATGTGAAGTATGAAAGCCCTAGCTCCAACCGTTCAAAAGGTATGGCCAATGTTAAAGTTTTTCAAAAGTAGGTCAAACTCCTAGATCAAGGTCAAAGAGGTTGACCTCCAGAGGAAGGTCTTGTCATAAGGAATACACATGTGAAGTTTGAAACCCCAAGAGCAACAACTGTTCAGAAGTTATGGCCAAGATTATAGTTTTTCAAAAGTAGGTCAAACTCCGAGGTCAAGGTCAAACTTCTTGGTATCCGAAGGAAGGCCTTGCCACAAGGAATACACATGTGAAGTTTGAAACCCAAAGCACCAACTGTTCAGAAGTTATGGCCAAGGTTAAAGTCTCTTAAAAAATTTTTAAAGTGGGTCAAACGCCAAGGTCAAGGTCAAATATGATGGTACCCAAAGAAAGGTCTTGTCACAAGGAATACACTTGTGAAATATGAAAGTCGTAGTTCCAACCAATCAAAAGTTATGGGCAAGGTTAAAGTTGACAACAGACAAACACACAGACAGGACAAAAACAATATACCCCCGGGATCTTTTGATCCAAAGGCATAAAAATAATGAAGTGCATCACCACAGCGTATAATACGCCCGTCAATAATGATCAATTATCATAATCATTTTAGAGTGCAAGGAAGAAAAACATGTCAATCTTTATACTATGATTTGAATGATTTTTTTCATTCTTAATGTTTACTGTGTATCTCCTGTGGTGTAGGTTTTAATTAGAACAATAATGCTTCACATACTTCTCCACTGCTTGTGTTAGAGTTTTACAAATGCCCATCTGCTGCTTTGTTTATTGTATTTTTTATGAATGATTAACAATGTTTCTGCCTAATAAAACATCAAAACTCATCATTTTGTTTATTCTTTAGACTATTTAATTGTCGTCTTAGTGAGATGTGACACTAACATTTCTTGGATCTGAAAATTAAATAAACAAAATATAAGACCATCTTTGAAAAAATATTTGCTTGCCCTCTCCCTTCTCAGGATAAAGAAATTGGGTCGGTAGGTAGGGCGAAAATTCTTTTTTATTAAAAAATACGTACGAATATGAATTTAAAATAGTTCATAATGGGATAACATTTCGATATGAATGAAAAAGAAAGTTTCCTGGAGGTTAAAAAAAGAGGGTGTTGCAGAAGCTCGTGATTATTCCCTAAATCGAGAAGGACATTTAAATACCCACGACGCATGAAGAGTTATCTTATAGATAATGCTACGTAGATGACTCTATTAATACGACGGGTATGTCCAGCTTGTTATAATAAAACATTTCACATTTTACGTTGATTTCATGCATATTTTTTTTTAATTATAGAACTGGCGACCTGTAAGTAAACTTTTTTTCGCATCTATGGTCACTGTCGCCATATTGCACGAGAAAAGTTAGAAAGATAAAAAGGGCAATAAATTGCACATCGCACATCATTTTGAAAGATGTATTGGAGACAGCGTGCGTTAATATTTTCCAATATATAAGAATGTGTCCATAATCACGCTGTTGATGCAATATCCAAGAAATTCCATTGAGTCTTTTCAATTTAGTTGTTTCAAGTCAAATCTGAGCCACTAATTAAAAGAACAACTAGTATTAATTGTAACGGGGACCGTTACAGATGTTCCCCAAACGCCCCCCAACTCCCTTTTGGTGTCTTATTTCCTGTAAGCTTCATTAAATAAGGCAATTAAATATATTGGTCATTTAACGCGCGCGCACGTGCATGCATGTGCAGGTTGTTAACATCATTCCGTCTGTACTATAAATGCATCTTTATATTCTCAGTATCAAAACATTTCATCAAAAAATATATAAGTTCCGGCTATATCAAGTATATTGGTCATCTTAGCATTGCGCGCACGCGCACCTGTATGCATGTTCATAATGACCATGCCATTTTGTCTACACTTATGATATGTCTGTTTATTCTTAGTATCAAAGCTTTTCATAAAAAAATGTAAAAGTTACGGCTATATTAAGTATATTGGTCATTAAACACATTGCACGCGCGCGCATGTGCATGCATGTGCATGATGGCCACATCATCTTGTCTACACTTTTAATATTTCTGTATATTTTTAATATCAAAGCTTTTCATCAAAAAATATAAAAAGTACGGCTATATTAAGTAAATTGGTCATTTAACACATTGCACGCGCGCGCACGTGCATGCATATGCATGTATGTGCATGATGATCATGTCGCCTTGTCTACACTTTAAATACATACAAATATTTTGAGTATCAAAGCATTTCATCAAAAAGTTTCAAAGTTACAACTATATCAAGTAAATTGGTCATTTTACGCTTTGCGCGTGCGCGCACGTGCATGCATGTGCATGTTGACCATGTCATCTTGTTCATACTTTTAATATATCCTTATATTCTGAGTATCAAAGCATTTCATCAAAAAATATAAAAGTTACAGCTATTTCAAGTATATTGGTCATTTTACGCATTGCACGCGCACGCACGTGCATGCGCGTGCGCGCAAAATGACCTTCGTTCCGCAAATCTACATAACATGCCTAGTAACCCTAAAAAGGTTTCACCTCAATCGGATGTGTAGTTTCGGAGATCACTCACGGACAAAAAAGTACCCAGGAAGAAAAATAATAATAATAATAATAATAAGAAACAGAGTAAAAACAATATGTTCCCAAACTTCGTTTGGGGAACATAATAATGAAACGAAATGTGTATGAAAAAATTAAATTATTTAAAATAATAGTAGTTTATTTTTTAAGATATTACCGATAAATAATAACATCAAATATATATGTCTTATTAGTTTTAGATCACAATATCAAGGAAAACAATTTAATTATGCATGCAAGAAATATATGGAGATAACGAACAGTATTCAAGCTCAAAAGTCCATTAAACAATACAAAATAGGAGCAGAGCAAACACGGACCTCTAAACATCAGAGTTGGGATCAGGTGCCATGGAGGAGTGAGCATCCCCTGCCGACCGGTCACACCCGCCGTGTGCTCCTT